CTTTGTGAGAAAGGTCTAAATACTTTCTTGTCGTAAAAGTTCAAGAGGTTGAGTTGCAGAGAGATCAAGGCAAGACCCTTAGGTAATCAGGGGAACCAGAAGTTGAGGGCAGTCTCTTAAAACCTGTGCTCCTTCATGGGTTTTGAAGCAAAATCCCCCATTTGAAAATTCAAAACAAAATCCCTCATTACATTTTTCTAGAAAAGTATAGCAGGGTGCCTGGGTGGCTCAGTTGGTTAAGTGACTGCCTTCGGCTCAGGTCATGATCCTGGAGTCCCGGGATCGAGTCCCGCATCGGGCTCCCTGCTCGGCAGGGAGTCTGCTTCTCCCTCTGACCCTCCCCCCTCTTATGCTCTCTCTCTCTCATTCTCTCTCTCAAATAAATAAATAAAATCTTTAAAAAAAAGAAAAAGAAAAGAAAAGTATAGCAAACAGGATTTGACTTGGGAATTCTGTAACGTAACGCTCCCTGTGGCCCAATCATGGGCCTGAGGTGGGGCAGTAAGGCAAATGAGCGCCACACCTCTGCTAGGCACCTGGGGAGGATGGTGTTGGTTGCCGGAGGGTTGAAGCAGGGCCTGGCAGAGGGAGGGCTGAGGACCTGAGCGATTTTGTCTTCCCCTGTCTGTGCTGGTTCTCACTGCCTTACTCAACCTGGGACCAGAAACACCAGCTCTTCTCTCGGCCTCAGGGAAATCAGCCGCCGCAGAAAAAGTCAGAGAGCCTGGTTTGAATCGAGCTCTCACAAACTGTGTGACTTTGGGCCAGTGACATAACCTTCCTTTCTGAGACTTCACTCTCAAAATCTGTGAAATGGGGGTGTCAATAATGCCCGCTTTGGCCCACTTGAACCAGTTGCTGAGAGATGACATTTGATAGATAAGGTTGTTATAATGCTATGCAAATAAATGGAAAGTGCTGCTATGCAAAAGTAAGTTACTCCTATTTCCAGAACCTCCTCTTTGAATTTAATTTATTCTAGAGTGTGAATCTAAGTTACTTGTTCTATGTTCTCGATGCATCCGATTTTCAACCCCATCAATTATTCCAGACTTTGCCTTAACTAAAGGAATTTTTGGCAACAGCAGAAGAAAGTGTTATTTCTTTGGGGCAGGAGGGTATTTCTATCTTACCCTGGCTGGTGAGGTGAATAATAGTTATTTGGCTAAAGTGATGTGTGGGGGGATAAAGTTCACCACTCCCAAGTGTTGGGGGGGGTCCCTTTTCTGTTCCAGTGGTTCTGAAGTCTGGTTGTGACTCAGAGAAGCCAACTTTGGGAGAAAGAAGTGGTGAGGGGGGGAGAGATGGTGGTAAGAAAAGGTCTAACGTTCAGCTGCCTTGGTGCCTTAACTGCCCTAAACCCTTACCACAAGGCAAAGGGGGGGTCATCCCTCCCCTTCATTCATCCACATGCATTCTGTGAGTATCACTGAGCACTCAACTCTGTGCCAGGATTATGCTGGGCACTGGGGACACAGACATAAGCAAGACAAGCCTGTTGTTAGCCTCCTGCTGCTTGTGGTTTGAGAGGAAAATGAAGTTCAGTGAAGCTAATATGACCAGAGAGGAAGCATCAAAGAGCACGGGGAACTTGGAACCTTAGTGTGAGGGCCTGTAACCTAGGCTGGGTGCAGAGGGAGGCCTTTGGAACCTGGAGAAGGAATAGGAGTTGGGTAGTCCTGGGGGGTGGGGGTGGGGAGGATGAGCAGATAGATCCTGGTATTTGGGAAGGTAATGAGGGGAGAAAGAGAACAAAAAGAAGTTCAGTTAGGCTTCTGGGATTTTTTTCCCTTCTCCTCATGGCTGGCCTTGTTAACTATTTTATTTTATTTAATTTATTTTTTTAAAGATTTTTAAATTTATTTATTGGCCAGAGAGAGACACAGTGAGAGAGGGAACACAAGCAGGGGGAGTGGGAGAGGGAGAAGCAGGCCTCCCGCGGAGCGGGGACCCTGATGCGGGGTTCGGTGATCATGACCTGATCCAAAGGCAGACGCCCAATGACTGAGCCACCCAGGTGCCCCCTTGTTAACTACTTTAAATGTGACTCCATCTGGATAAAAATGTGGGACCCCAAGACCTCTGGGTGGTTTTTGCCTAGCTTTATCTCCAGCTGAAGCTCAGGATCGCCTAGGATGGGCAGAAGGACAGAGGAGGGCAGTTTAAAGTCTGATGAAAAGCTCAAGTCTTTTCTATACAGCTGTGAGTCTAGTATTAAATTCCCATGCATGTTGATTTCCCTCATGATATTGCACAGGATCAAGAGCAAGGCCAAACACGTTGGGGCAGAGGGGGATGAGGGAACTGCCTCTGTCTACATTCCCACCCCAATGTTGAGGATATTTTGGAGGCATGGAGGAAGTGCTGGCTTGTTTACAACCCAGATCCGGGTTCGAAGCTAGGAGGAACATCTGCTTAATTGCACAATTCAGCTCTGACCCCTATCCTGGGTGGCCTCACCTGGAGCTACTCTTATCTCACGCTCAGGTGGACATCCTGAAGGGGGCTGGGAACGATCAGGGCTGCAAGATCTCCTTTCATTTCACATATGAAGAAACCAATGTCCAGAGAGGCGAGATGACCAGGACAAAAATCACATGACCACTTGGTTGCAAAGCTGGGACTAGAATGCCTGTCTCCAATGCACCTGCCCGTAATACTTCTATCTGGGGCCTTTACAATTGTACTTATTCTATCTCTGTGATTCTATCTGATACTCTGAGCAGTCCTGAGTGATAGATAGGGATTAAGATGGCTTTATTTTTTGTAGATAAGAAAATTGAAGCTTGGTGAGTTTATTTGACAGAGTCCTCAAAGTTAGAAAGTAGTTCTCCTAACTCAAAATTCAGTGCATTTTCCACCATGCCCTGTGGTTAGGAGGCACACATGGTCTCAGACTTTGCCCGATTATCCACTTTAGAATGGCCTCAAATGTAGATAATGACTACAGAGGAGGGCTTTCAAGGAGTAAATTAACCATGTTTGGGCATTCTTGCCAGGCCTCCAGCTTCCAAGTTGCATATCAAAATAAAAATCAGCAAGTAGCTGGCCCTGCAAATTGCCATCTGAACCTCAAACCAGCAGTTTGTGCCTGGGGTTGGGGGGTGGGGGGAAGCATCCCTTTATCTTCAAATCCACGCTTAGGGGACAAGTGCCTTTGTTTTCTGCCGGGACTCTGACACTTGCTCTTGCAGAGATGGTTCTCACGAAATATACGCTGGCAGAAACAATAATTGAATCATCGGCAGGGTGTTGTGAGTCTAGCCATGGTCCTCTCATTTTCCCTTAGGGGTTAAATGGGGATAGCAGTGGCTTTGCTCTTGGTCTCGGGAGGTGGCAGGATGGTCCACTCCCGGTAAGGTGGTTCTGACAAGACAATGCTGGTCTAGATTGAGAGTGGCAGCTGGTAGTGGTTCCGTGGCTTTCCCAGTGGATAAGTGATTTGCTTGGTGGGGAGAGCTGGGTGGTTCTATGATTATGTTGAGGTAGACAGAAAGTGGGGGGTGGGGAGCCTGACTCGGGGAGGAAACTGGAGCTGGGAAGAGGTAGGGGACTGCAGAATGTGAGGCCAGGTCCCCAACAAGTCTGGCGTGGGGTGGGGGTGGGGTGGCAGAACACAGGGTTCAAGGAGGTGAGGAAAGGCTGTCCCTCCTTTGGCAAGTGGTGCTGGGCAGGGGAAGGGGCTCTGCCAAGCTAACCAGAGAGGGCTCCAGATGGGGCGAAATCAAGCAACTGTGGTTTGTTGAGAACGAGGAGCATTTTGGGGGAACTGAACTGATCACCCCCTCCTCCCTTGAAACCAAGGACTTGTACAACCACAGAAGCAGTCTCACCTTTAGCCCTGCTCCTTTTTCTGTCTTTAGTCTTATCAAAAACCAGGATCTGAGTCCAGAGCACAGTGAAATATAAAATGGAATAGAGGATAGGCCACCTGGATAGGCTTGGCGGCTCCTACAAACGTGCAAAAACATATTTACCTTGGGGGTGCCTCACAATTCCCACTGTAGGAACAGTATCTGGTGGTTCAGAGAGGGTCTGGGTCCTCAAGCTGAATTTAGGGTTAACGTGGGTCCCCCTTACTCTTTTGAGTGTCTGTCCCTCCTGCCCCCAGTGGCAAGCTTTACAGGCTTGTAGAAGATTTGCAGCAGGTGTTGACCGCAGGCTGAACGGACTCGTGTATATGTCCCTTTTGCAGGAGAGGGTAGCGTGGCTTAGTGCTGGGTCACCCTGCAGGGTCACAAGCAAGCCACTGCGCAGGGGCCCTGGGTTATGCACAGGCATCCACTTGTGCAAGGAACCGTTGTATAGCCGTGCACTTGTCCAGGGATGGCAAGTCACTTGCCAGATGTACCCTTGCTGTTACTGCCTCTGTGCAGGGGGCAGAGTGACTGCGCTGGGGCCCTGGGCACTTTAGCTTGATCGCGGGTAGTTTCTGGCTGCGGCCGCGTCAAGAACCTTTTGATGCCCACAGTAGTAGAAACCGTGTGAGTTTCACAATGGGGGCGGGCTCATCTGCGCTCTGATTTGCCCGCTGCTGTGCTCTGCGTGCTCAGAGCGAATTTTCTTCGGCTCCGGCGGCTCTCCCTTGGAGGTGGGGATGCGGCGGGGGCCGGAGGAGGTGGGCGTGCGGCCGCACGGGACCCGGGGCTGTTGCAGGCAGGAAAGGAGACCCGCCACGGTTTAGGACGACCTCGATGCGACCCGGCAGAGGAGGCCACCAACTCCGGGGAAGACGAGCGAGCCCCAACACAACTCTCGATTGCCGCAGAGCGGACGACGCGGTGCGCCCGCCGGCGCGCATGGGGACGCACCCCGGCGGGCGCTCCCTGCCTTGACTTCCCCATCCCCGCTCGGGGGAGGGGCCCGAGTCGCGCCGAGGCCGCCGAGCGCAGAAAGTGCGCGAAGGGGACGCGGCTGGCGAGCCGCACACGTGACGGCGCCGCGCCGAGCCGAGCCGAGCGGGACCCGGCGGCGGCGGCGGCGGCGGCGGGCGCAGCGGGGCGGCCCCAGCGGCGCGGGCGGCCTGGAGCCCCGGGAGCGGCGCGCGCGGCCCCGGCCCAGCCGCCGTCCCGGCCTCGCGCTGCACATTCTCTCCTGGCGGCGGCGCCACCTGCGGCAGCGTTCGCCCGAACATGGCGACACGGAGCAGCAGGAGGGAGTCGCGACTCCCCTTCCTATTCACCCTGGTCGCGCTGCTGCCGCCCGGGGCTCTGTGCGAGGTGTGGACGCAGACGCTGCACGGCGGCCGCGCGCCCCTGCCCCAGGACCGGGGCTTCCGCGTGGTGCAGGGCGAGCCGCGCGAGCTGCGGCTGTGGGCGCGCTGGGGGCCCCGGGGGGCGGACGAGAAGCCGCTCCGGAGGAGACGGAGCGCTGCCCTGCAGCCGGAGCCCATCAAGGTGTACGGACAGGTGAGCGGCCGGCCACCCGCCTTCCCCCAGCTCTTTCCTCTCCCCGCACTTCCCCAGCCCCGCATCCATCCTATGCGGTCGCCTCCCAGGTGCAGGCACCGCTGGGGACTTCCCGGCTTGCGTTTGTCCCCCTCCCCCCCACAGGAGTGTGACCGTCCGCACTTGAATTGCATTGATCTTTCCTCCTTTCTGTCGATTTTAGCAAACGCCTTCCAGGTAACTGGCGGGGTGCAGTGCCCATTTGCCCAGGGTGTGTGCACACCCGCGTAGTTTCCAGCAGGTAGAGGAGGGGTGCAGCTTCATTTTACATGCGGATGAAAAACGGGGTTTCTTTAGTGTACCGTCAGTTGGCAGTGGAGGCGAGTAGCCTGCAGTATACTTACCCAAAGCAGTAAAGGGAGGGGGACTCCATACTTAACCATTTTTAACCACAGTTAAGGTGGGCAAACCTGAAAGCGGGACTATCTTGGTCTGGTCAGAGCAAGAGGCGCGCGCGTGTGCGTGTGCGTGTGCGTGTGTGTGTGTGTGTGTGTAAGGGCTGGATTTTGTTGTTGTTTGTTGGGGGGGGTCTATCCATTCCACCTTCCCCTTTGAGATACTGACTTTATTTTTGGACAAGAATATTAACTCATGCCACTTAGGGATTTGAAAGGCTGCAAGAATTTGGTGGGCATTGTTATTCAGTAAGTGATTTATTTCTGTCCAGGCAATGGGCTTATTAGATCATAAGTAACATGAATTTCACTTTTATGGCCAGACTTACTGCTAGTAATAACAGACCCAGTTTGTGGGTTAGTATCAGCATTGGCAAAATTGATTTGACCGGCTTATTGCCTCATGAGACTCCGAGCCCTGTGGTTAAGATTGACATCAGCAGAACTAGAAGGTCAGTGGGAAAGAAAAAGTGGGACCAGAGGAGATGGTAATTTGCACAGTTTCTAGAGTCAAAATTTTACCAGTTAAAGCAGAAGTTAAAAGGTTAGTCTGAATTCTGCCTCTCTACACTGATTTTCTTTAGCCCTTTCTTCAGGAAATACATAGATTTAAATATTCAACTCTTGGAGCTAGGAAGAACCTTATAAACCATCTCACTGATTGTACCATTTTGTTGATGAAAAAAAACGCAAGCCGGGAGAGGCGAAGTGACTAGCCCAAGGTCACGTGGGGCAGGGTTGCCTGTTTAGTTTTTGTTGGCTCAGTGACCTTTGGGTGATCAAATAGTTGCCCTCTCTTTATACAATGCTCCCTAAATAATTCTTTTCTAAAATAAAAAATAAATGGCTATAAATTAGGGGGTAGGGGATGGTGGTAAGTGGGTGGGAGCACTTGACTTCCATCTACTACCAGGCCCTGGGAAAGAGCGTGTGCTGAGGGGCGGGTAACTGCTGTGGGCAAAGGCTGCTGGAGCCTGCCTGCTCTGTTTGTGTGTGGGTCCCGACCTTCATGCCCTCCCCACCCCCATCAGAGACTTCTTTTTGTATGTGGAAAAGAAGACAGCAAGGTCCTTGCTCTCAACCAGGATAGCAGCATCCTGATGTTGAGTAGGGGAGGGAAAAAGAGGGACTGCCTTGTTCATGGAGTCTTCCCGGCCACCCTGCTCTGCCGTGGGCTTGAGTCAGCTCTCTGGGGGCTGGGAGCGGGGAGGGGTGGGAGTCCATTCTTCCTGGAGCTCAGGTCCCCTGCAGGGGTAGTTTTGGATAAGGGCAGAGCATCCTAGTCTCAACAGTGTGCATACAGGTACCATTTCTTCCTTGGGTTTGGCTTGTGAGGGCTTCTGGGGACATGGGTCAAATTAAAGATGAACTGTGTTCTCATTGGGAACGACTCCCAAACCCTTGGCTTTTCTATTTCTGAGCCAGCCAGATTGAATTTGGTTCAGTTGAAGGATGGAGAGCTAGCAGTCGAACTCGTAATGAGGAATTCCTACCAAGGCTGAAGGCCCAGGGCAGCGTTTTCTCTGAGGCCCTGAGGTTAATAAAAGAGGGATCAACTTGAATCTTTAAGGATCTGAGTTAGACAGAAGGAAGAACTTCCTGGTCGTGGGCTTTCTGCCACGAGCCCCTTTAGGCTTCAGGCACAAGAGTCAGGGACTGAAGGAGTTCGGTGTGCCCCTCTTGGAGCTCTGGAATAACTCTTCTATTTGGAATGACCTTTCTAACAAGGGTGACCATTTGCCTCTGTTTTCCCTGGGCCAGACCTAGTTTATAAATTGTCCCTGCTGCTTATGAGAGCGCTGTCTTCACTCTCAAGTGTCAGGGTGCAGGCTATAAATTATATGGGCCATTCTGCGTCTAGCTCTAAGCCAAGTTCCATTCCATCCCCCTCCCCTTTAACTTTTAAAACTTAAGGAATTGCAATGTTCTCCCACAGTATCGCTTGAAGGGAGTGTGGTTCTGAATAGAGATGGGCGTGCGAAAGGAGGGAGGGTGGGGAATTTTTCATCCCTGCTTTCGGAAAGTTTACAATGTAAGGAGTAGGTAAAACAGATGGAGATACAGACATGTGCTGGACAGGAGCAAATACACGTGGACACAATAAAGCAGCTGTAGCTCTACAGTGGGGTGTTAGAGGTTTGTGATACGGGAAGGCACCGGAGATGGAGGGCTAAGGTCAGTGGGCTCAGACACTCTGCAGCTTCTTGCCCTCTGACCTCTGAGTGAGGTTAAGAGGCTGCCTGGCAACGCAGATTAGGGCTGGAAGCAGAGGCTGCCTGACCAGAGAGGCTGGAGGGGTGCTGTTAAAGGCCACCAGCTTCCAGGAGGAGCCAGGAGGGCTTTGCAGGGAGGTACCAACTGCAGCTAAAGAGCCCTGTGTTGGCATGTCGGTCGGTTCTTTTTCTTTGGTTCCACTAACCTATGGAGTAAACTAGGCACGGTTCTTGTGATCATAGTCGTCCTCACGTTCTCTAACGTGGGAGACTGGTTTCTGCCATGATTCCGTACAGACATGTTTGTAATAGTAAAGTCTGGTAATAGTGGCGAAAACAAGTTGGTATCAGATATTAAGACTTTTCTGCCCAAGTTCAGAGTTTAGAAGTTGAGCCCCTTCTAAAAGGGGCCAAGTCCAAGAAGGGGGATTCCATAATTCGTGCCACACTGAGTTTCTTCCTGACTTTGTGTTCACTCCATGCCTCTGTATCATCATGCTTGCTTTTCCTCTGCCTGAGATGGTCTTCCCCACTCCGGTCTTTGCTTGCAGAACCTCTGTTCTCTTCTTCAGCATCCAAGGAACATCTCCTAGGATTCCCAGGCTCCAGTGGGAAGAGTTCTTTTGAGCTTGGTTACAGCACTAACAGCCTTGTGTTATAATTGCTTGTTTGTCTCTTCTCCCTGTTTGCTCCTTGAGGGCATGGATCAAGCCTTTCTCTTCTCTGTGACTGGCACTTGGGAGGCCCTTAATGAATATTTGTGGACCGACTGCCCACTTGGAAGAAGAGAAGCTTGGAGGGTAGGAAGCACATCCAAATTACAAAAAAGGGATTTATAAGGAGGATCACGGCGAGCCCACAGACAGAGAGTGAAAATGAGTTGGCTCTTGCGGTGGTGAGGATCATGGAGTCCTGATTTTGCTGTGCTGTCCTGGGGGTTATTTTGAATAAAGAACTGGGATTCCATTGTACAGAATCCTCCCTTTTAGGGCCATCATGGTATTGCTAATGGTATTGTTTTGGGGAAAAATCCTTTGGAATGAAGTGCAAAGCCTAACAGGATTTACAGGTTTATTTTCCTTCCAATGAGCTCTCTCTCTTCATAATTCCTGCTTTTTAGAGGCCAGGGAGTATTCAGTGTCCTGAATTGAGACTGAAAGTAAAGTGTCTGTTACAACACAAGGCCCTGGGACAAAGAGCCTCCTTTGGGGGTGGAATACTGTGCAGCTTTAGATCTCTTTAGAGTAGATTCTTGCAGATACACTTGCTTGGGAAAGAATTGGCTGGTTGATTCTGAAGTTAGGATGCTTGACCTGTTTACTTCCAGAAGATGAGAAGGCAAAGCACTTGCTGTTTCACATTGGCTTCCATGTAGGTGAAGAGTTGCCAGGTGTGTTGGGTTGGCTCGGTAAAGGACGTGACCTTGAAAAACTTCCTGCTTCCACTTGGCGTCTCTTCTTACTGCATGGGGCTCTTTGCTCAGTCTCTGGCTACCATTTAGTTCATCAAGAGCTTGTACATCTTGGCGCATTCTGCTTGGTGGGCAGAGGCTGTGAGAGGTGGAAGGAATGGGGAGGAAAAGGGGACGGAGGAGGGGTGAGGAGATGAGCAATGTAAACAGATGAAACGAAAAGGCGTCCAACATGTTTATTTAGCCTTCAGGGGGTAATACATGTCTATAAGTTAAAATTTGTACAAGAATATGGTGAGAAGCAAATTTCCCTCCCTCCCGTGTCCCGTGTTTATGTGCCTCTTCTCAGTTGGCAACCACTGTCCTCCGTTTTTCTGTATGTCTTTCCAGAAACATTCTATGCGTGTATGGCACAGAGGTACAGAAAATTTGGAATTTGTAATATCAGTGGCTTTCTGTGATCCATGGGCCCTGAGGGCATGAATAATGAGGTTAACTCTGGCTCCACAATGTATTTATGGCATTTGACTGTCAAAAGGTAGGGAGTTATGTGAGGTGTCATAGTGTGGGATAGGTTGTTACTTTTCGTCCAGGCCCGGGAAAAGAAAACTCATGCTCATCGCATTCTGAGGGTTCCTGCAGGCCAGGAAAGCCGCCTTGTAGCCCTGGTTCCCAGGCAGGCTGCTGGAGAGCAGTTCCCTAGAGGTGAAGAGCTCAGGTCTGTGAGAATGTCAGAACCTAGAGACCAAGGATCTTGGTGGTCTTCAAGACCTTGTGTTCCTTTTGAGAATGTTTTCTTTATATTCTGTAAAATAAAGTTAATGGTATGTTTAGTCGATTGCTTTGAGACCTGGGATCCAGGAGGCAGATCTTAACCGCAACTAATATCCCAAAGCCAAAGGCGGATGCCGTTTGGTCATTTCATTGTCGTATTTTTGGTCT